AAGAATGATCCTGCAATGAAAAATACTGTTTAATTGAAAATATGTTTTATGGGAACAAATCAATTTTTCTAATACTTACAATGAGGAGAAGCCAAAACATTTCAGTGCAACTTAATCAGTGCATTACGATGCTAGACCGCAATCTCGACTACTAGATTAAAATGTTCATTGTAATAGCAGCCACTGTTGAGTATGTAGCATTTTTCCTGCAATATAAAATTCGAAGGGATATATTTAGAACATATTCTTCCACTAACCCCAAATATATTTTGTCCTTTTTTTTGCTTGGGAAATTTCAAAATGTTTTCCCTTGTTGTGATATGGAACAATTTGTGAGTCTTGGGCATTCTACACTGAGAAGATGCTCCTATTCTTGTGTACCTTCATCTGAAGGAGAGACACCCAGAGGCAGCACTGCCTCAGAGCACAGTAAGACACCTACCTGCTTGCACCACATCGTGTGACTGGGCTGCTTTAGTGCCAGAGGCCCTCTTTCCCAGGCACAGGCTGCAGGTCACTGTCTGCTGCAATCAGGATCTTCTGTGGCTATAGAGCTCCAGCTGAGATTTGTGCCATCAAAGCTGAGCAGAGTTATCCCCATGACAACACCTGAGGAAGAATTTATACCCACATCAGACAAAATGACTCACAATCTGTTCCTGGATGCAGCTCCACCCTCTGTGCCCTCTCCACAAGCATCTGAGTGGATGTTATCTCAGCCAGCCTTGGTCTGATATCAGCATACAACAGTCATTCTGGATATGCTGCTGGAGAGAAGCAGGTATCTCCAGAGATTGTCTCATCCAAAGACACAGGGCTGGATCTCTTCTCCAAAGTGCTTTTTCTCACCATTGGCTAGACAGGAGGAGCTGAAATTTCATCATACACAAAATCCCTGGGATTTGGGTGGCTGCATTAAGGGGTATCTGGTTTTTGCATGACCCACTATTGCAAGGTGATATCACCCCCAAAAGCACTTGTGAAAAACTAGAAAGTTTCAAAGATGTGAGTTACAGCATGATCACATAGATTTTGTGCCACTGTAACCAATGAGGCCTCCTCTGAAACAGGGGATGGACAGGATGCCATGGCAGAGATTTACACAGGACCTTCCTAAACTGTCTCTTTCACTGAAAGACTCATCATATGGCACTGTGCCCTCAAGGGAAAAGTTCTGATACAGAAAATCCTTAAGTATCTGCACAACCTTAAGCATGTGATTCAAGTATGTAATACTTGTTCTCTATGTCAAGCAGAGCTAGTGCCAGTCAGCAGTGCTGGCAGTGGCCAGGCAGAGAAATGACACTGGAATGTGCCCTGTGGGAGACCACCATGGATGGAGGTGCAGTCAAGTCTCTTCTGCCTGATCTGCCAACAAACCGCTTCACTTCTCCCTGCTGTCGGTGATCTTTCAGGAACTCCTGCAACCTCTGATTAGGCTTCAGAAAAAATTAGGAAGACAAAAGCTACGGTCGTGACTGATCAAATATCTTGTTCTGAGGAGATGACATAGGAACATAATGTTCACAGTCCCTAAAAATCTGTAACCAGAAACTCTCCAAAGTGTCTTGAGGAGATTTCAATACCACTTTAATAAAGGGAATCACCTACTGAGATTTAAGTCACCTCTCGGAGAGGAACACAAAGTACAAAGCATACATATTAAAAATAATGACATAAATGGTCTTCAAGGCTCCATAACAGGAACAAAATATCATTGTCAGGTTTGTCAAGTTGTTAGAAGTTGTATCCTAAATTCTGTATTTTGATTCATTAGATTTCATTCTTCTTCCCAGGTAATAAATGTCCAAATCAGTTCTCCAGTGTCCCATGACTGCAGTAAGCATAGCCCTGGAGAGATAGTGACCCTGAGGAGTATGGGAGTCGATGTGTTGGTGGTCAGTCTTGCAGATGGAGCAGGTCAAATGTGCAAGGCTGCTCTGGGGCAAAACCACCCCCATGTCCCCATGGTAAAGGAGAATGGGATGCCCTACATCAGCACTATTGCCAATCCCACACTGGGGGCTTCTGCCCCACAGCACAGCAGAGGCAGTTCAGCTGCCTCCACATGCAGTGCTGAGAGGGACTTGTGTGACCCAGCTCTCCTCTGGCCCAGGATGCTGACGTCTCCTGTGTTTTATTGCTGGTGAGAGTTACTAGATGTACCTGAAGACATGACCTGCATTTCCTCCTATGGCTGCTGAACTACTTCTGTATTTAACTGTTTCCAGTAAAGATGCTACAGCAGGAATTCTTGAGGAGTTTGACTTCCTACAAAAAGCCAGGGTTTATTAATCACTTCCACCTTACCATTGTTGTCATGCTTCTATGTGACAATGGCAAGAAAATTTATAGCTGTTCTTCTCTAACAATGAACACAGTATCTTTGTAATAAAAGCATGCACTCCTAGCCATGCACTCCTCTGCTGCACCAGACCCAGCTTCTCACTTTGATTTTTGCAGCCCCATAGCTCTGGTTTCCTCCCACAGATGTAGAGAGACAGGATTTCCCTTAACCTCCTGTCCCCATCCTCCTACTCTTCTTCCTAGTTAAAGACATGGCTGTGCTGGTTTTGGCTGAGGTAGAATTAATTATCTTCACCATGGCTAGTATGGGGCTGTGTTTTGGATTTGTGCTGAACACAGGGTTGATAATATAGAGATGTTTTTGTTACTGCTGAGCAGGGCTTGCACAGAGCTAAGGACTTTTCTGCTTTTTGTACTGCCACAGTGGCAGGGAAGTTGAGGATGTATGGGAGGTTGGGAGGAGACACAGCCAGGACAGATGACCCAAACTGACCAAAGGGATATTCCCTACCATACAACATTATGCTTAGTATATAAAGGGGAGGAAGAAGGAGGAGAAAGGGGAGGGAATGTTTGGAGTGATGGTATTGGTCTTCCAAAGTCCATTATGTGTGATGGGTCCCTGCTCTCCTGGACATGACTGAACACCTGCCTGCCCTTGGGAAGTGGTGTATTAATCTTTTGGTTTTTCTTTGCTTGTGTGCACATCTTTTGCTTTCTCCGTTAAACTGGCTTTATCTCAACCCATGAGTTTTCTTGCTTTTACCCTTCTGAATTTGCTTCCCGATCCTGTTGGTGGGGGAGTAAATGAGTGGCTGTGTGGGGCTTGATTGCTGGCTGGGGTTAGACCATGACATGGCTCATTTCTTTTGCGTGCATCCTGTGAGTCACCAGTGATCGATGATCAAATGCCCTTCGCAGTGGGGAGCAATTGGAGTTAGCTGGCTTGAGGCTCTGGCGGCCCTTTCACTTCTGACACCAGCAAATTACATTATGTGTTAAAGCAACATTTTCTTTTTTTCCTAGGCTCCAGGCTGAGTTTGAGGAGAACATGGCTCAGCTTTGATTTTACTCTGCTGTTCAATAAACCATTTTCTTTAAACAAGTTAAAAGAGGATGTTTTTCCCAAGATCTCATTAAATATTTATTTACTGTTTAGAACTCTTCAGTAAGTAGCAAAGGTCTCAATTTGGGAAAACATAAAAGTTTCTATAAAACCAATCTGAGCTTGCTAGCTGAATATTAAAACGTAGGATGGATGAATTAGTAACTAATTCATGCATAATAAAACCCATATGCATCTAGAAGTAATTAGCTTATTGTTTTGATTCAGGGAATATTTGCTTAATAGCCTCAATAGCTGCTCACTTTCCCAACCAGATCAAAATTAACATAAATGGAAGTGACATTCAGATAAAATGAATAATTTCAACAATAAGAAATTCAGATTTTGTTGATGTTTCTGTAGATGGCCTGAAATCACTAAATTTTAGCTTTCCTGTGCCTGGAAAAGCTGCAGTTATTTGATTAGGGCTAAATAAGCTCCTTAGCTCACTTAAAACAGAAAGATGATATTAAAAACACTTGGCAGTGGCTAAGTAAACACTGAAGATATCTGCTTATTATAGTAAGGCAAAACTTTGCTCAAGTGTTCAAGAGGATGAAATTTCTGAGGGAGAGATGAGGGATGAAGTATCAGCCCACTGAGCACACTTCCTCTGCCCTTGTGTGCCAACCAGAGCCTGTGCCAAGCCCCAGATTTCCCTGTGTACACACACATCCATTGGACTTGATGAGAAGTGGGGTCTTCCAGGTACGAGCAAGGGCACATTTGTAATATGGGTGTGGGACCTTGTCTAACACTGTTTCTGTGATAATGTCAGGTGTCAGATGGACAAGCTGGATGCTGGCCTCAGAATTGTGTGCTGACCAGCATCAGGAATTTCTAGGGAATCAAAGCTTTCGTTTCCCCGAACTACTTATTGAACATTATTGCCAGGATCCCCTTCTTAGCCCTTCTGCAATGAAAGCCGAGATCTCTGTACCTCCATTTCTCCAAAAATACACACAGATAGTACCTCTATTTCTGCTCAGCAGCTGTCACCATGTTAGTGGCTACAGAGTTTCCTCATGTCCCTCACGCAGGGCAGGTCATGGACCCTATGGTTTAGTTCTTCACTAAGCTGTGAAGAAGTTCTTCACTATGCTACTTCCCAGCAGACCGTAGGGTCAGTATAATGGAATCGTGGAGTCTTGGAATCATAGAATCATGGAATCATAGAATCATAGAATGGCTTGGGTTGGAAAGAACCTTGTAAGATCATCTAGTTTCAATCCCTCTGCCGTGGGCAGGGGCATCTTTCACTAGACCAGGTTGCTCAGAGCCTCATCCAACTTGGCCTTGAACACTTCCGGGGATAGGTGTGAGATCCTGGATCCAAATCTCACTGAATTATTGAAACGGGTTGGAACCAACTCACTGAGTGCGTGTGCATGTGGGGAAGGGCTGGGCCTGGACCCGCAGGTCCGTGGTAAGGGCTGCACATCAGGCCTGTGCTGAGGGCACAGGGTAGAGCTGAAGGCAAGGCCTGCAGCCCACGCAGAGCACACGGCAGAGCTGCAGGCCCTGCAGCCGGGCTGTCAGTCAAGGCAGACCTGCCTGGTAGCCCACCCACACCAACCCCCTGCAGCCTGTGACTGCTACTCTGGACTTGCTCCAACAGGTCAGTGTCATCCCTTGTAATGTGACATAACAGGGTATAACACAGTCATCCACAATGGTTTTGCCATTGCTTTGAGAGGAGTCAGTCTAGATCCAATAACGAAATAGGTTCAGGAGCATTTAATGTTGAATTGCATGGCCCAGGGAATGCTCTATAAAAGCCAGAATGGGTCTGCACAGCATATGGGAACTTCAGCCAATTTCCCCTTCAGTAATTAGTAATATGTGCCAGGGGATCTCCTAAGCTAACAACTACCTTAGTTACAGACCAGTCTACTCTAGACTTGTATCTAGAAAACATACCATCATAGTTCAGTTTTATGAAGTTTCTCATTCAATCATAAGCAAAGGTAAAAGAGCTGAAACTCTAAATTTGTGTTTCTTTTAAAAATTCTCAACAGTAGCTTTTTATTTTTATGTCAGTACTAGAAATGTAAGTCACTCCGGTGCAGAGTAGTCAATGATAATAGTTTACTTAGAAGTGGACAGAGATGGGATGGGATTCAGATCAAGACTGAGATAACTGCATTTTTGTGCCTGCATATCGGTAGCTACAGGAGTCTGAAGTGCCTAAGCAGCCTTTCTAGTCAACATAGTCCTAGAATCGGTTCAATTTTCTAAACCTGTGGGAATTTGAAACTCCATAGGACAACTAGGAGTTTTGCACAGTAATGGCTGTGCACTTACAATACAGGATAAAAGTTTCACATATTTCTGTACGTATAGGTGTCTGCTGACCAGTTGGACCCCTGCAGATCCATAATTCCCAGTGGACACTGGGAATAAGTCCCATTTGTCATAAAAAACCTTCCATCGCAGTTGTCATGGTTCCAGGAGGTCTGAATAATCTTTTGGAAGCAGAAGTGGTCCTTTGACCACAGGACCAATAAACGCTTCTCAATGAGCTACCTCTATATTACTGTGAGGGTGACCCAGCACTGGCACAGGTTTGCACAAGGAAGTTGTGGAGTCTCCATCCTTGGAGGTAATCAAAAGCAATCTGGGCATGGTCTCAGGCAATTTGTACCTTGTGTGGTCCTGCTTGAGCAGAGGGGTTGGACCAGATGACCTCCAGACATCCCTTCTGACTTGATTCTGTGATTCTGTGATATTGTGCTCATCTTGAACTGGTCTTGTGGATAACAAGAGGACTTGTTTTTCTAAGACTGCTGTGCTCTGGAATTAAATCTAGTCAATATTATGTATAATTACGTCTAATTACATCTGTTAAGTGAAATTTTTGGAGCCTGAGTACAAAAGCCATTTTGTTATGTTGTTTATTTACAGACTTACAGCATGAGTGCTGGAAAAGTAGTGGGGTGTGAAGGAAAAAGAACAGAAAGAATAAATGAGAGTTATCTGGCAAGACAGTGAATTTTGGCATCTTTTTTTAGGGGTGTGAACAGTTGCTGCATGCTGGAGAAGATAGGACAAGAACTGTACAAATATGAACTTGCCACAAAACCTCCACTTCATCTCTACCCTGCAGGCCAAGTTTATGTTCTGAAGTATCTGCTTGGTAAATCCTCAGCCTATAAAAATAATATAGCTGGATAATCTGATAGAATACTTAAAAGTACTTGGTCTCATAGCTATTCTTATGGAAAACCAAAGATTTTCTTTGACATCAAGATAGCTGTGTTGACACATAGCCTTTGCAGATACAAGGCACTGTGGGGTTGTTTTGATCTCACTGTAACTAGTGAGATAAAGATATAAAGCTTGCCTTGAGTAGCTGTACCAGAGACCTATGCCTTGTCTCTGCTAGATTTTTGTGCTGTGATAGGTCCTTTGAAATGCCTCTCAGTCACAAAACCCTTTTTTCTCTTGCAGTGAAGACACAGAAAGTTTACTTGTCATTCAAACAAGATATCACAGTTCCCTTCTTTTCACTTTTCCCTTATATTGTTGCATTCTCTCTCTTTTCTGTGCCTAATATATTTATTTTTTCCAAAACTTTTGGAACAGACTACTTAGCAGTGACAAATATATTTGGACACTGTACCAAATTGTGCCAAAAACATTGCCAAAATATCAATGGCCTGTTAGAAATATGACATTTGCTATATTCTTTGCTCCTGAGTGAAGATGTTCTTTCTACCAGAGTCCAAGTATACATGCATGTTTTCCCATTGGTAAATTCACTTTAACCAACCTTTTAATGTTGCAGGGGCTTCTGTGGAAGAAGGGAAAGCTTTGGGAGGGTAGGCTCAACAGAGCCCCCCAAAAAATCAAAGTCATCCCAACCATGTATGGAGCCTAATTCTGGGATCAGTCACATGTGTGTAATTCCTTCAGCTTCAGTGGAATTAGTCCTTCATTAAGTAAAGGAGAAAGGATCAGAGTTAAGCTCACAAATATTAATTAAATCATGGCAGATTTACATGTGAAAGCCACTTGTACAATAGAGCAGAATGATGATCCTACACTCTTTGAAGTGGTCCTAACACTAAGTATTTCTTATCTCCCAGGGGGTCTCTTCACTGCTCTGTGATTTGCATAATACCAAGGTGATAGCTTGCCTTTGATTTGCCTTTGGTTTGGAGGATGTACTTAGTTTCCAAAATCAGAAGTAAGTTAGAAAGAAATTACATTTTGTCTAAAAGTCAGAGAGAGTTTTTCTTCTCTCAGGTTGACATACCCTGCTGGATTTAAAAATTGATAGAGTTGAAAAATGCTGAACACTCTCATTACAGCTACAGATCAGCATTAAAAACAAGAGGTTATTTTTAGCAGCAAGGCACTCTTATCTTTATTAATATGTCGCTTCACTGAAATATTAAATGGTAATTCACAATTCATGCATTTTGATGTCTTGCTACTTTTATCTTCACTTTCTTGTCAAAGAAAATGTCTTAAAATTTAAACATTAACACTGTGCTGGGTGTCCTTGGAAAACACTCCTGTTCTTAAATGGATTGGTCAGTTTGGCCAAACAGCAAGTGGCAGTATACTACTGGCTTATTTTCCATTCCTCACGTCCCCCAAATGTATGTTGACTGGAGCGAGGCTTTTGAATATAAAAAGTTCAGAATTTTGCATGTAAACCAGACTATTTAAGGAGGAATCCAGCTTGTGCTGAACATCTCAAATGCAGAGGTATTGGGCAGTAGCTTAAAGCTTTAGAAACCATGTGCGTAGCCATCACTTGTGCTGCTCTGTTTTAAAACTCATCTCATGCTATTTCCACATCAGAAGAAGAGCTGTTTGTTAACAAAGTGTAGCTATTATGTTAAATTCTGACCTTGGATAGGTATTTGTGAAATACTGCCAAGCTACAGTTTTCTCATAGTTTTAAAGGGTTCCGTTCTAGCTGAACGCATCGCTGCACTCTTCAGCCAAATTGCTGCTCTGTGAAATTTTTCAGAAAAGGAGGAATACAACAGAGAATTGGTTTTCTGTTTTTTCAAAAAGTAGACGTTGACCGTATGTAAAAATCCACTTTCTCAGAAAGTCTTTAACACTAGTATAAACCCTACCCTGTGTCAGACAATGCTGCTGGGCAATTAATCAAGATTTTTGTGGGTTTTGTTAATTCCAGGTATATAAAACAGTTAATGAAGCTGAAAGCTGTTATTAAACATCTTCATAATTTAGAAATAAAGTTTCAGAAGAAGGTTTAAATGAGATAATTAGACATTTGGAAACCTTCTCTGGGGCTAGGTCTTACCAGTAGGTTTCAAGAAGTTCTTTGCACAGAGTTCATGTCATAAACAAGCCTGCAAATAGGGGTGAGGTGCTGGCTGTAAGTTTTGACTGCCTAGATTTAGTCTGCAGATTAGTCTGGAGCCCAACCAATGCCCCAGGTGAGGAAAGAAAGGGAGAGTTGTTTTCTCTGGGTGAAGCTTTGCAGGAGGACTTTGTGGAGGAATTACCACAGTGTGGTGGTGTGTGCTGGAGAGTGTTAGACCATGAACTCTCTCATCTAATCCAAGAGCTATGGCCATGAAAAAGTTTAGCAGAAAGGAGATGAAAATAGCTGTACTAAGGTGTCAGCTTCAAAGGGAGCAGGCTTTGCTGTCCAGGGCTTTCTATCCGGTCAGCTGTCCTGCCACAGCTAAATCCAGCACCTAACAGAAACATTTGAATTGCCACTTTTAGCACACATTCTACTGTCTGCATATTTGCCGGGGGGAACACAGGAAGATATGAGTGTTTAACAAAGAGCTGGTATTACTGACAAGCAGATGCCATGAATATTATATTTACATAGCAATGATTTACAAGCATCAAAAATCATACCTGCAGCTCCAAAAACCAGAGATTTTCTTTTAAAAAGCATAAGATTGATTTTAGATAGTTTGTTGCTATTTTTTTAATTCAGCTTTTAGGTTTCTATCTTTACTTTACTTACACTTTATTTGTATTTTAAAGGTTTTTTTTTCCCAAACTTTTCTTTAGGAGTTCAAGCTGATGCTCTTCTGCAGTCTCTGTATTTCATCATCTGGATCCTTCTGAGAGACACTAAATTACAGGTACATGACAGACTCATAAGAGTTGTCACAGAGTGATGGTTTGGTTTTTTTTCTGAACTGATCAAACAATTTATCTGAAAAGAAAACATCATGTTTCTTTTCTCAAGATTTAGCTGCACAGGTGAAGCTGATTTCCTAAGAAAAATAGCATGAGATAACCAGAAAATGCACCTTAAATCTGCCTGTCTTGTAATTTGAAAGAAGGATCCTCCATGTCCCAGGACTGCGGAAAAGAGGACTCCTTTATATATCTTCTCCCTCAGCACCCAAACTTTGAGCTGACCTTGAGCCCATCTCCTTCCCCCTGTAACCCTGACTGCCTGTGGCTTGGGTGTGCCCATTTTGGCTTATTGGCATTTCTATGGCAGTGGCCAAACAATCTGAGTCGCAGAAGAGTTTGGACGGAAGGCATAGACCTACACAGATGGCATCTGCAGAGATCATTATTATTTTTCACAAATGACAGCAAAGAAAGAAACTCAACTCTGCATCTGGAGCAGCATTTCATTTTGAATGCAATGGTTCTGTCACTCATGGAGCTGCTTTTAGCTTTAGGGCTCAGTGCTGTGCCAATAAAACTAATGGGAATTTTGTCATTGCCAGAAGAGAAAGCAGTGTTTGGCCTTTCAGAGCAACACTCTTAATTCTAGTGTGTAGCCTGGCTTCAATTTTTAATGAGAAAATGGGAATAAACAGAACAAAAAGTGTTCCACAAGTCCCACATCCTCAATAAATATGGAATAATGGTAGAGCTAAAATTAATACCATTTTTTACATTCTGGATAAAGAGGCGAGACAGTCTGAGGAGCGTTTGCTACATCATGCACTACAGCCAAACGAATTTCTTCTTCATGTTGGCTTGGGCTTAGCGGATGTCTGAGTTCTCAACTGATGAACCTCTGTTACTCCAAGAGCAAGACAGATATTGGAGAGCAGTGCTGGACTGATGTTGGTCTGCTAGAAATGCTGTCACCTGCATAATTGGTTCAATTCACCTTTGAAGATGCCTTGTTCACCCTGAGACCTCATCCACCTCTTCTGCCTGGCAGACCAGATGCATCAGGCTCTCTGTGGAAAACAGGCTCATCTGCCAAATTTCCACTGGGTAGCACCTAAGCAAGAGAATGAACTGTTCCCCCAGCTGCACCCAGAACCACATCTCAGTGCTGTATTTAAAGATCTACCACAGCTATAACATGGACTCCAGATACAGCAAACACTGAAGAAAGAGAAGCAGATTCAACTTAGACTGTAGGAAGCACTTTTGGCCACTTAAAGACACAGACCTTTCTTTGTTAAGAAATTAACAAAGAACCTGTAAGTTAATCTTGATTTTGGAGAAGAAAATGTTAACCTCACCCAGGGAAAAACTGTAGATGACACTATATATGACTATATCCCTGTATCAGGTGTTCATCCAGCACCGCACACAGAAAACATCCTGCTATTTTTGTTAGAACTGCTTTACAGCTGGTACCTTTAGGGTGTCCTAATACTTTGAGAAAATGCTCAGCACTGGATTGACGCAAGTGAAGAATACCAGGCTAGGTTTCCCGAGAACAGCTTCCTGACCCTGTAATACGCCCCCTAAAGGTAGTGGTTGAGTCTTGTTCCTGCTTGGCAGCAGTCTCAGTCCTTGGCCTAATTATGAAAATGATTTCTAGAGAGTTTACCCTATCACAAAAAAGCAATGATCGTTTTTCCACCTCTTATGGTTGCAGTCTTGGCTGCTGCTTCTGCTGCCAATCAGAGGTAGTGCCTATGTCCTGTAGGACTGCTCAGAAAAGAGCTGGATCTTTAGTTCTTTATGCAGAAATGAAAAGGGAAATTGCTAAAGCTTGGGGTATTTCAGGTGTAATTCACAGCAGCAGCAAAATGCTCAGCAGAGTATTGCCCATTTGTTGGCTTTTAAGGTCTCCTTGTCCCATCATCTCTGAAAGTATAATTCAGTCCTGCAGAGACCTTCTGTCTAATCTTTCTGGAGGCAAAGGTGAAAAACCAGGGACTTTCAGGGGAAGATTCAGCTGAACTCGTTAGCTTCCCT